GGGCACTGAGTTTAAGTCTCCCCACCCACCTGACCCTGCCGTGGGCGTCCAGCCAACCCGGAGCCTTGAGCCAGCCTGGGGTGGGTCAGTGTGGGGGGAGAGGGGCTTTGGGACCCAGGCGGGCGGCCCAGGGGCTCGGCCTGGCGGGTGCTGCCTGAATTTGAAGGCCATCGAGTTCCCCTGTGAGACCCCTGGGCCTCCCATCCTAGCCCCCGCGGAAGAGGGGCAAGCAGCCGGGACGCGTCCCTGTGAGTCACTTCATAGAGATATTTGCACGTGAGAAGCAGGACCACAGTGACGATGGGGCACAGAGGGCACCAGCGTGACAGCAGAGCTCTCCGTCCCGAGCAGGAGCTGATGGACAGGGCTGCTGGATGTGTGTGAGCGTGCCTACCCCTACCCTGCACGCACCGCCCCTCTCCGTGAGTGATGGGCAGCCCCCAGCCCAGCTTCCGCCACGACGTCAGGCGCGGCCCCACCAGACCACAGGAGGAGCCACAGGCTCGGGCCCTCTGGAATCCTGCCCCATGCCCTGGCCCCAAAGCCCCAGGCCTGGGAAAGCCACATTCTTGTGCCCTGGACACTGTGGCACCCCAGCCGCGCACCCTGGTGGGCACCCACGCCCACTGCGTCAGCCCGCACCTGTCCAGACCCCCGAGGGTCTGCTCTAACTCAGACCGACAGTCCTCCCTCCAGCCCAGGGACTGTGGTGACCTCTGCTTGCGGAGCAGCTGCCCCCAGCCCAGCCCCCACTCAGGAGCCAAGACCCAGGTCCACGTGCCCCCCACCCAGAGCTGGTTCTGGGCTGTATGGCCCAGCCCTCGGTAAGCCCCACGCCCACCTCCTCCCCCTGCACCGACCGGAGCCCCGAGAGGGCAGCGGCCCGTCTGACATTGCCGTCCGCCCTCGGCACACAGGTGAGAGGCATCTGTAGGGCCTTGTGGGATCGTTTTATTTGGAACTGCCGTGAGTCCTGAGAGCAGCCCGCCCCACACCAAGCTCCCAGGCGGCTGAGCAAGGAGGCCAGCGCCTGGCCAGCCTCACAGGACTCGGCGGGCACAGTCCCACCTGGAGGTCGATGCATTCACTGAAACCCAAGAAGAGCGTTGCAGGACCCCAGATTCACCTCGAGGGTTGTCTGCCCTGTCCTGGTCCCCGGGCCTTCTCGGGGCAGAGCTCTGGGGTGTAGGATCTGGGGTGATGCTCAGGAAGGCAGCTTACCTGGAAAGCCTTGTGCGCACAGGTGACTGGGGGAGAAGAGGACTTGTGAGGGTGGGCACCAGGACACACCGCGGCCACCCCGCTCTGCCCACGGCCTCGCCCGAGACAGGGCCGGCCCTGCAGGCCTGGCTTTGGGCAGGAGCAGGTGACTCTGTATAGAGCTCCCCACCCCCACCCTGCCTGACTCCCTGAGGCCCAGAGCAACCCCGACCCGCAGAAGTCAGCCAGGGGCCCGTGGGCATCGGGTGACACTCACGGTCCGGCAGCAGCGTGGCCTGCTGCTGAGACAGGAAGCCCAGGCCCTTGCTCCACCTAGCAAAGAGGCGAAGGGCCTCCTGGCTGGCCAGCTCCGTCCGGCCTGTGGGGCGGGAGGGGAGCCCTCACCACGTGTGCCCTGTGCCCCAGCCACCCCTCCTGCAGGGGGCTGAAGGGCAGGGATGCTGCTCTGGGACCCTGGGGGCACGGGGCTCAGCACAGTCAGCGGGAGGTTGCCCAGCGTGGCCGCCCGTGGCAGGGAGTTCGTGGGGCCGGCCCGTGGTGTCCACCACTTACTGTACAGCTCCACGGTGTTGAACGCCTCGTCCTTGAACTCCAGCTGCGTGAACACAATGGCGTAGTCCCTGAAGTTGGTGCCCAGCACGCGGTAGTCCAACACTCCCAGGGCTAGGAAATACGTGCGCCCCCAGGGGGGAGCGTCAGACCTCACGAGAGGCTCCCCCGGGAAGCTGAGCGCTCCTGGGCATTGTCCCCTGGTCCCCAGAGCCAGCACACAGAGGGCCTCAGGGACGGATGGCCGGCGAGTGCCTGTCCCAGCTCATGACAGGGGGATACTCCACCGATCATGTCCCCTCGTGGGCACCACCCCAGACGGAGGCCCGGGGTCACTGCGGGGCACGCCAGGGTGAGCCCTCTGTCTTCCAACCTCTTACAAAATGCGTCCTTTCACTTTCTAGTGGAAGTCTCGGGGATGGGCCCGCTCCCCAACCCAAAGCATTGGCCAGGCGGCAGGGGATGCCAGCCCAGGCTGCTGGTGGCGGAACCCACTGGGGAGGGCCCGGAAAGCCAGCCCATCCCCCACCGCCCCGCGCCACATGCCCCGCATGAAACCGTGGAGGCCGTCGCCTTACAGGGGTTCTCAAACACCCATCCAGAGCTCTGTCTCAGCAGCTCCACCACGTTCACGTCACACCTCTCCAGCCTGGAAGAGAGACCGTCCGTCCTCGGCTCAGGGTCTGGACACAGGCCCAGAAGAGACAAGGGTCCTACCAGCTGCACCTGGGCAGCCACCAGCGTGCCGCACAGGGGATCCTGGCTGCCGCTGACGGCCCCCGTTGCCCGGAAGCCTCGTTCTGCACCGAATCCAACCTGGCCTGGGAATGAGCAGACACGAGAGCCCTGCAAAGTGCAAATCAATTTCCTTCCACCTCCCAAGAGGCCTCCCGTGCTGGGAGCCACGTGACGGGCACAAAAGGAGCCTCGGACAAACACAGGGTCGTCTGCAATTTGGGGTAAAGGCACTCAGCATCCAAAGGGGCTGACGTCCCCGAAGCGGTCAGTCCATAAAGTGAACCAACCACACAAATGCAGCGGTCTTTGCTCACTAAGATGAGCTCATGGC